ACCAGCAGAGGCGCAGGGAGTTGAGGGGAGCAGGTAGGGCTGAGGGAGCTAATTGGCCCTTGAGGCTGAGAAGAGGCTGAGGTGGCCAGACTGGGCTGACCCAGCTCCTCCCAGTCTGGTGCGGTACAGAGGCAAAGCCTGCCCCTTCCCTGAGCGGGGTCTGGGGCCAGGGGAGGGGGGCACTAAACCACACAGCCGTCTCGGGGGCACTCTGGGGCCCCCCCAACCTCCTCACTGCATGCCTCATTCCCATTCCAGGCCTCAACAATAGGGTCCCAGGTTTCACAAATGAGGAAACTGAGGCTCAGAGAGGCTAAGGAGCACCCTGTAACAACTTGGTCTCAAAGGAGACGGGGTTTACCACCCAGGAGTGGGAGCAGGCAGCCCTCATCCCCACCACGCCAGGCCTGGCCTTCCCACAGCTCCTGCAGGCCCTGCTCCCACCCAACACCCAACTGTTCAGCACCCTGGGCTTCCTGCGGGGACCCCCACCAGCCCTGGACGGTCTCCCCAGCCCCAGGGCCGGCCCACTTCCCCAAGCCTCGGTTTCTTCCCCTGTAATGTGGAGAGTTGTACTAGTTCAGCTGATCTCTTGACTGGAAGAACCAGAGTTCATAGGAGACCAGTGGCTCTTCTTACAATGGGGCTTCAGCCCAGGTGCCACCACCTGCAGGAAGCCTTCCCAGCCTCCCTGTCTGGGTGGACCCTCCCCTCTCCTGGCCCTTTCAGCCACCTGTGAGCTGCCTGGAGGAAGGAGGGAAGGCAGAAAGGCAGGCAGGCAGGCAGGCAAGTGCACGCGGGAAGCTGGGCACACAGCAGGGCCAGGCCCCTCCCTCAGCTCACTGCTCCTTCTCACAGTGACCACAATCTGCAGACCCAGGCTTAGGTCCCTCCTTCTAGAAGCCCTCCTTCTCTCTCCACCCACACAGTCAGACCCTGCTTCTAACTGGCTGCAGAGGCCCCTCCATCCCTCTCTCTGTGCCAAGTAGCCAGGGCACACGCTCACAGCCACATGGGCCGGTTATTTATAGAGCTCTCATCTTTCCCAGGGTGGCCCAGGGAAGAGTTTTGGCCTTCCAGGCAGACAGTCCGGGGTTAGGATCCCAGTGACACTAGGGTCTTGCAAGTCCCTTCCCCTCTCTGGGCCCTCCTTTCCCTGCCTGTACCTGGAGGAGACCGCTGACCCTCAGGACATGAGGCTAAAGATGTGCAAGCCTCCGGGGTCCTAATCCCAGGGTTGGGCACATGGTAGGGATGCTGCACTGGCTCCTTCCTGTCCTCCTTGTCACCCCAGCCACCGGCACCAGGACCAGGCCCAGGCACCCAGGGCCTCAGGAAACAATAGGTGCTGAGCTCTGCCAGAGAACTTGTCCCACTCACCCCCAGTCCGGAATGGGGGTGGGGCCGGATGGGCCTTGCTGGCTGATCTCAGGCAAAACCCCTCCTTGCCACCTGGCCAAAGGGCCAGCCCCATGCAGGAGGAGTCTGGCCTTATCCAGCCAGCCCCACCCCTTCCTCCTCCCAAGGCAGGTAGCCAGCACAGTCCCTCTGTGGAAACTGATGCCAAAATTGTCAGACAACACTTGCCTCCACTTGGAGACAGGGCAAGGCAAGATCTTGAAGATCTTGAGTGCCAAACTCCAGCGTCATGGCTGTGTGGCTCAAACTAGGTCTGCTTCCCTCTGCCTGGAGTCTCAGCGTCCCCACAGAGCAGCTTGGGAAGGAAGGGGATCCTCGGTCATTACCACTGAGACCTGAGCCCAGGGCCTGGCACACAGCAGGCAACCTCCTGGCCCAGAAGGGGGGCTTTGTCCCTACAAAAAGGATGGCCATGAATCTTTGCCTCCAAGCCCCCAGCACACATGTAGGAGCATCAGAGACCCTGGGTGCAAGTCTCCCTGTGCATCCCAGCACACAGTAGGCCCTTGGTGGCTGCCCTTCCTCAGGCAGAGGCCTGGCCAGCACAGATACGGCAGAGAGGGAGGCCAGGCTTCCGGCTGGAGCCGCCCTACCCAGCTGGGTATGCAGTGCCCACACCGGTTCCCGAAAGTGAGGGGGGACACCTGGCAGGTGGGCCACAACAAAGAGGAACTACCATTGGGCTGGGAGGGCTTCCTGGGTGAGGGGAAGCTGCACCCTGAATGGCCAGGAGGGTTCTAGAAAGAGGAGAGAGCAAAAGCAAAAGCTGAGCTGAACCAAGGCATCTGGTAGGGAGAAAGGGTGAAGATGTTCCAAAGATCTTAGAAGGAAATGTCAATGCTAGGATGAAGAGTCCGGACTATACTGTGTAGGCAAAAAGTAAGCTGCCTTAGGGAGGATGCTCTCACAGGGCATGGAAGAACTGGAAATGGAGGCAGAGAGGCCGGCCCCGGCGTCTGGGGCAGGACAGCAAGGCCGGAGGGGAACAGAAGAGGGAGCCGTGATTTCGTGAATGTGTGTCTCGGGCCAGCTTCCAGTCTTGGGCCATATCCAGGCTACCGGGGGACATGTGGCGCACAGAAGGTAGGTAGGGTCCCTGTCTGCAGGGTGAGAGCCAGAATAAGAGGGTTCTGGGGCCCTTGGGTAAGTCTCAGCATTTCTCAAAACTCAGTCTCGCTCGCTGGCTCCCTCTCGCTGTAAAATGAGGCTGACCCTATGTGTGGGGGCAGGGTGCTGACTGCCCGTAACAGTCTCCCCTCCTTGGCCAGACATAGGAACCTCCCTCCGGCCACTATCAGATGAGTCCCAACTGGGGCCATGCGTAGAAACCCAGGCTGGCCCAATGTCATCCTGGGAAGCCAAGTTCCCAGAAAGGTCTAGCTTTGGCAAGGCACAGGATAGGGCTGGGAGGGCCTCCATCAGGGCTAGGACCCCAAGAAGAGGCTAAACCTTCCTCTCTCCCAACCCCTCCCCAGGCCCTGAGCTATTTCCCTGTTTGCTGGGGATGGAAATAACTCAGGCTCGCCCCAGGAGACCAAGATAGCTATTCTGATCAGCCCCAAGAAGCACAGCTCGTCATTCCAGAGAGGACCGAGGGACACCCTGACCCCCCAGCTCTAGCTCTTGGCCAAGCGGCAGCAGTGGTCAGAACTAGCAGGGGCCTTTGGGAAGAACAGGGAGACTGAAGGACTGAGAGGGTCGGGCAGAAGCTCAAGGTCACCCCAGCCTGCCCCCCACTACAGCACGTGGGCAGATTTGGGAAGGTGTCCCTAGAGCAACTCTGAGGAGGGGAATAAAGCCTCGCCAGTATTGCGAAGATCAGTTGGGGCTCTCAGCTCTTCTTGCCATTCCCCGCCCTCCCCCGGGAGCCTGGGCTGTGCTGCTGACTCCTGACACTCTTTGTAGCTATGGGGATGCAGGCTCTAGAAGATAGGAAGCGGGCCTCTCTGGTGATCTCTGGCTAGGGGTGAGAACTGTGGGAAGGGAAGAGGAGGAGGAACAGGAACACCACATAACCTACCAACCACAGTGTTTCAGACATGTGTGCAAATACACACCACACTCAGAACTCACAAAGGCACACTCTGGCAAGGCCATGCTTGTCAGCCCGGTTCAAAAGAAGAAGCCTAGATAAGCCATGAACAGATAGGAAAAAGGTGGATGGCCCTCTCCAAGCATCTCACAGGGTTTCGGGGTCTTTTAAACCGAAATTCCAATCCTGGCACACTCCTGACTCTGCATGACCTTGGGCAAGTCACTTTGCTTCTCTGAACCTCAGTTTCCTTCTCTGAAAAACAGTCACATCTCAGAACAACTGTGAGGATTCAGCAAGCGTACACCATAAAGTGTTCAGCATAGCACCTGGCACTGTCCCTCTTTCATCGCCCCAACACAGAATGCAAGCAACATTTTCAGAGGAGGACAGAACTTCCAGATCCTTTAGCAGGTATCCCCTCACACCACCTGGTCTAGAGAGCCCAACTTCCATTTCACCCTGCATGAACCCAACAGACCCTCTTGTGGAGGTGGGAGCCTAGGAGGGTCTAGCCCAGATGGTGAAGGGGCCCTGTGCCAGCTCTCCAAATCAGAGACCACTGGTGGAGAACAAGTCCATGCCCCCTCTCCCCACACAAAGGGAACTGAAGGAGACGGGGGCCAGAGAAGTCAGGGTCTATGGATCAGAATCCTGGCCTTGGTCTGAGGAACTGTACTTCATCCCTCTCACCAGCAGCCCCTAGGCCACTGTGTCCCCAGCAGCCAGCCTGCCCCCACCCTCCACTGCAGTCTTTCTGCCTGGACCACAATGGGAGGGAGGGGAGAACAGAAGCAGTTGACCCCAAAACAATAGAGGATCCCAAAGTGATGATTCACAGTCCATTCACAGCCCAACACCTCAGTGTGCAGAAGGGGAGACTGAGGCCCAGTGAGGGCAGGGTCTGAGACGAAGATGGGCCCAGTGAGAATACAGGTTACTGGGGACAAAGATTTGCCAGGCATCTAGGACCTCAGTGTGAGAGTGTGTTTGGGAGGTGGAGCCTGAGACTACCTCAGGGCCCTTCAGCTGCTACCAGAAGCGTCAGTCACCTCACCAGATGCCACCCAGCCTCAATGTCCTTTCCCGCTGCCAGGGCAAGTCACTCAGGGTCCTCCCCACTGACTAAACTGAGATGCTGAGAGGTGCCCTCTTGGGGACAGTTCTGGAGAGACCCCCTGGCCTCTCCTCCTCTCCCTCCTTTTATCTACTGGCAGGTGCTTGAGGTCCCTCCTCTTTCGGCCTCTTACTCATTCCCCAGGGCTGGACACACTGATGGACACACACGCAGACAAACACACACAGACACTGACAATACTTGACCCAACAAGCACACTACCGCGCCAGTGATTTGGGGGCTGGTTCTCACAGTCACTTGGGGTTTCTCTCCCTCTGTTTCACACTCAGTCGCATTAGGGAGTCTCTCTGGCCCTGCCTTGGTCATGTCCCAGGCCACACACAGACTCTGTGACCTGGGTCTCACAGCAAGCTGGGGTCACGGTCACCCGCAGGGACCTGGGGTCTCTCTCATACAATCACACGCACACACTCGGCCTGTCAGAGACACACAGAGCCCCTCTGTGTCTCTGGCTTGGCCCCGGCGTCACCGCTCAGCGTCCCGGCCACACGTTCTCCCGGGCTGGGCCGCCTCACCCGCCGTGTCACCCACAGTCACGGGCTGACACCGTTCAGAGGCCCCCCTCCGTCCATCCGGCGCCGCAGCCGTCCCGTCCCGCACCCGTTCCTGGTCTCGGTCCAAGTTTCCCCGGGCCGGGGGCGTCTCCGCGGCCCGCCGATTCCTCAAATTGCAAGTCCCGCCGCGGCTTCGCCAACCGCTCTTGGCCGGGCCTGGAGTCGCGGCCCGAGGACGCGCAGGTCCCAGGGCAGGGGTCTGAGAGACGGGTGGGGACCGGTGCGCGGAAGACGCCGGGACAGGACGTGGGGGCGCAGGGCCGGGGCTGCGGCATCCGCCGCGCGGGCCAACTTCCTCAGACACGCGGGGAGGCAGGGGGCGCCACTCGGGTTCTCACCCCTCCAGCCCCGGCAGCGAGAAGCACATCCCAGGCTGAGGCCCCGAGCGCCCTCCTTACCTGGCCGCCGTGCAGCAGCTCCGGCAGGGCCCCAAGGTAGAAGCGCAGCCCCGGGCCGAGCTCGGCGAACGCACGAGCCACCCCGAAGGCTGCGCGCCTTTTGAATGAATCGCCGGCTGGGCCGGGGAAGTGCTCAGCCCCGCCCCCGCGCGTCACGGCCGCCGGCCCCGCCCCCGACGTCAGAGCACCGGCTCGCGCCCCCGGGCCCCCACCACTGGCAGCGGCAGAGGGCCTCCAGGTCTCCCGCCCTGCCGCGCTGCTCTGTGGCGCCATCTCTCGCGCCCCTAGGGAACTGTAGGGGGCTGCGCGAGAAGAGGCCTCTTGGATCAGCTGGGCTCCAAACCAAGAAAGAAAGGGTTGCGCTATGCAAGATAGACTGAAGACTTGGGTGCTACTCCGGGTCCCGTCACCATTGCCAGTCCAAGCAGGACCACCGCTGCCCCTTCCTGGGTCTTGCTTTCCTCATAGAAATTGGCAGCTGATGGGGCGCCTGGGTGGCTCAGTGGTTTAAAGCCTCTGCCTTTGGCTCAGGTTATGATCCCAGCGTCCTGGCATCAAGTCCCGCATCGGGCTCTCTGCTCAGCAGGGAGCCTGCTTCCTCCTCTCTCTCTGCCTGCCTCTCTGCCTACTTGTGATCTGTCAAATAAATAAATAAACTCTTAAAAAAAAAAAAAAAAGAAAGAAATCGGCAGCTGGGGAGAACAACCTTGCTTTGTTGACGAGGCTCAGGCCCGCCCCTGGATGCTCCCGCCTAATTGGTGAGAAAAGTCCAGGTGAAAAGTGTATCTGTAATGGAGGTCCATATGGCCGTCTCCTGCGCATTCCTCAGGACCAGCCCAAATCCTTCTCCAGACACCTTTCCCGTCTCCACGCCCCCACCAACCCACCCGTCTGATAGGCTAGTGAGTCCCTCCTGCCAGAAGGACAGATGACACACTGCTCTCCCTCTCTTACCATCAGCGGTCCCACCTTGCCAATTCCCATTGCCAGCCATCAGGGTGCCCAGCAAGGCAGTGACTAGGGACTCCAAGACACTGAGCACATTGTATTCCCAACTCTGTGAATTGTGCCCCCTGGAGTTGTGCGATCTGGAGGCAGCAGCTCAGCAGGGACTTTCCCCCTACTCATTACTATTGAGGGGGAACTCCCGTGGTCCTCCCAGGACAGCAGGGAGGGCCTCATGCGGAGGGGGAGGGGCGCAGAGGCCTGTCTGGGATCAGGATCATCATAGACCATGACAGAGGAAGAGGAAGGTAAAAAAGTCTGTTGGGGATAGATGGTGGGGAGAGGTGGAGAATTCTAAACAAACTGAGTCATAGAATCTGAACTGTGGGGTGAGGAGGTGGGGTAGGTCAGGTCCCCAGGGTCCAGGAGATTCCAGGAAGAGAAATGGACACCCGCAGAGGGAGGGGAGTAGGAGAAGAGTTTCTGTTTCCCTGGGTCCTGCCCAGGTTGTAGGAAAAGAGCAGGAAGAGCTCCAGGTGACTGATGGCTGCATCACAGCCCCCTCCCCCTCATATCTCAATGGAGACTGCCCCCCAGGGCTAGAGCACGGGTGGTCCCAGGGGGGACTATCCCAAATCCAAGCCCATAGGGCATGAGGGGGGAGCTCAGAGAGGAGACAGAGGGGACCTGGTGAGGGGGAGCGAGCACCCAAGAGAACCTCTCTGTTCCTGCAAATGTTTTCTTTATAAGGGGACTTTCTATACCCCGGTTCCAAGTTCCACAGTTGAAATGGTGGCATGTCATGTGCCACTTAATAGGCCAAATAGGGAAATGCTTTTCGGTCAAGGAGCATTGGCCGTCAATCAGACATACTACAGAGGGTTTGCCCTACTGCCAGCTCTCTGTGAGGCTTTGGTCAAATCCCTCCCCAGATTCAGTTTCCGCACCTGAAATTCCGGGGGCCAGACTTGTTACCTAAAGGTTGTTTTAGTTGTCTGTGGGACGAGGCAATCTGCCCCACCTGCACAAGTGGAAAGGGCGGGCAGTAGCCCCAGAGCCGAGAGAACAGAGGAGGGATGGTGGGGCTGATGTGGTCCCTCTTGTGGCTCTGGGGACTCTGGTTGGCACTTTCGGGCTCTCAGGCTGCAGCTCTGTAGAGTCCTAGCTCCTGGAGCCACAGATCATGCGCCTCCCCTCTCTCCCCGAGCCCTCAGGTTATGAGGGAGCCTAATTGTTATTTACTGAGAGCTCTGACTCCTGAGCCACAATGAGCTACAGATGGGACCCTGCACAAGAATCTGGGAGCATCTAGTGAGGAGGCAGGGAAGGAGTTGTGGAGGCCACAGAAGATTTAAATTGACTTCTTAGGGAGCTTGGAGAGCCACAGGCTGGAGAACAAAGGACTCTCACAATCACAGGCTTTTAAAACTCCTGGCATCGCAGATGAGCCCGCGACATCTTAGCATTACAATTCCTACCCTTAGGGACCTCAGAGACCATCTCATGTGAACTTGTCATAGTACAGCTGAGGAACTGAGCCCAGAGAAAGCCTGCACCTCACCCTAGGCGACCCGGCACAGGCCCCAGTAAGCCGGTATGACCTGTGATGGTGCTCCAGAGTCAGGAGTGTGGGCTCCATGCCCCACAGAGGCCCTGCCTGCGGTGGGGACCCTGTCCCACAGGATCTGAGCCATGGGATGCTGTTGTTGACAAGGGATCTGAACAAAATGTCAGCCTTTGCGGGTGTGGACCAGGAATCGTGGCGCCCTCTGCTGGCCGCACTGGAATTTTAACAAGGAAGTACAAAGCAGGAGGAATGCTCTCTAAGGGCGCCTGGCCCGCTCAGTCAGTGGAGAATAGGACAGTTTATCTCCGGGTTGTAAGTTTGAACTCCTCATTGGGTACAGAGATTATTTAAAAGTAAAATATCTTTAAAAAAATTTTTTTTCAAGGGCGCCTGGGTGGCTCAGTGGGTTAAAGCCTCTGCCTTCGGCTCAGGTCATGATCCCAAAGTCCTGGGATTGAGGATCGAGCCCCATATTGGGCTTTCTGCTCAGCAGGGATCCTGCTTCCTCCTCTCTCTCTGCCTGCCTCTCTGCCTACTTGTGATCTGTCTGTCAAATAAATAAATAAAATTAAAAAAAAATTTTTTTTCAATATTCTGCACTTGGCTAACCTTTAACTGGCCAAGTCCTACCCCTCTAAATGTCGGCTGCCCCCTGTGTGTGGGAGCTAAGGGGAGGGGTGGGCTTTGGTCTAAGGAGGAACTGTGGCTAGGAGGCCAGGGTGGGCCTCAGACTTGGGGCAGGACAGGAACTGAGCTGAGGCTGCTGGGCCTGAGAGCTAGGCTCAGGCCAAATTTAGGTCTAGACCCTGAGCTGGGTCTGGAATCTCACTGGGGTTGGGTTCTGGGGTCACAGAGATAGGGGTCAAGTCCCAGTTCTGCCATTGCCAGGTTGTGTGGCCTGTGTGGCTTAAGCAAGTGACTTTACCTTTCTGAGTGCGAGCTCACCAGCCCAGGGTATAGTGAGGATCTATTGAGACCCCATGTTGGGGACACCAGCTTCTTCTAGGACACTGGGCTCAGAACCCTTATCTGCTCCCTCTCCTCCTGTGTCCTCAGTTCTTGCTCGGTGTTCTCCCCACAGTCTGGCATGTGGACTCTGCTCAATGTCTCCCTCCTCACTTCAGCCCTGCAATTTCTCCCTGATCCAGCTTAGGAGGTCTGTTCACTTGCCTTTGCCAGGGAAGGCTCCTCATTGGCCATAATGGACCCAAAATAGCACTTCCCCTTGCTGCTTCCTGCAACCTGGACTGTGGCTTAAAGTCTTCGAGGACAGAAAGGAGAATTGGTGTTTGGCAGGCATACAAAAGATGTGAAGGGCTCACAGAGGTCATTGGTTCCAGGGACGGCAGACACTTGCCTAGGGTCACACAGTGAGGGGAGGCTAGGGCTGAGGCTTGAGTTTGGATGTCTGGGTACCCCATCTCCTCCCCAGAAGGTCTAAGCCAGGGCCTTAGCCAGACTTGCCATGGCTTACACCAAGACTTCTGGACCTGCAGACTACTACTAACCCCAGTTTGAGGTGTACAATGGGGCCCCTGGAGACCAGATAATCCGGTCCTGTGCTTCCTGGGTTCAAAGGGTCTTTCTCTGACTGTTGTGACCACAGGAAATCTTCCTGCCTGGGCTGTCCTCTAACCCACCTCACCCCAGCTCCCCAGCCTCAGTGATGCCTTGCTATGTGACCTGAGGTTAAGTCCCTAACCCTCTCTGTGCCTCATCTTCCCCGTGAGGCGGATGTCTAGCTAGCTAAATCCTGCCCTCTGTCCCCAGCCCAAGGACCACCTGGAGAACCCCTTTGAAGAAGAGATGGTTCTCTCCCATCCTCTGAGATCAGGACACCCTGCCCTGGGCTGGTCGACAGAACACGAGCCAGACACCTCCTGAGTGACTGGATGTGGCTGCTCAGACTCCATCCTCCTGTCCTCCAGCCACTCCGCGTGGCCGCCCCTCCTCTCTCCCTTGAGCTGTAGAGCCTCAAGCAGACAGACCATACGTGAATCCAGGCTGCACCACTTAGCAGACTAGTGACCTTGAGGAAGGCATTTTACCTCCCTGAGCCTCAGTTTCCTCATCTGAAAAGAGAATAATGGTACCAATGTCATGAGGATTTAGCGAGATGGTCCA